ACAAGTACAAGAAAATTATCAACAGGAAGCAAGTAATATATACTATATATATATATAAATGGAAATAGAAATAGAAAATAAACTTTATTCTGGGACGATGTCCCCTTAGAATAACAATAATGAACTGTTACAAAAGAAAAAAAATAGACATCTGGCCAAAAACTAACTTAAGAAAGATACAAACAATATAAACAACTTAAATAATATTAAGTAAATTACTAAAAAATAAAATAAAATCTTCTCAACTATACTTATAATTTTACAGGAAAAACAACAAAAAGAAAAAAAATTACATGTATAGAAAGAAAAAGCGAAACCTCCAGAAAATAAAAAATATCAAAAATACTTAAATAAAAGAAATTGACTTATGTTAAAACCCAAACAGCTAAGATCAATATATATATATATTATTTTTTTTACTGGGAAAATAAACAAGTCATCATATTATTTATTTTCAGAAAGTCTGTTGATGTGGATTCCAAAGAAAATTTAATCTATACATATCTACTCCAAGTGTCCATAAAATTATAAAAAAACAAAACATAAGAATATTTATCTTTTTATATATTTTTTTTTCTTTCTTCAAGGTTTTTTTCTCAATAACTTTAAACAACACGACCGTTGTTTAAAAAAATAAAAGTAAGTTATTGGGATATTCTATTTCGGTTTTCACTTTCTTAAAATAGATACGCTGGCTTGCTGAGTCATTCTCGCTGATTTTCTGGCCCATTTTAAAACTGATTCAGTCTAGCCCATTCACTTAAAATTTTATAAGCCGTTGTTATTTATTTATTTTTTTTTTTTTCAATATGTCGAAATCAACACTTATATATAGTAATTAAAACTCAAGACGGATGAGATATGTAGAAACTAATACATGGTTTAACATCTAATATAATCGATAAAAAGTTAAAATTTATTAATAAATATTAACCTATACATAAATATTCCTGTAGAGAAATGAGAGATATTTATCTTTGAGTACTCGGAGTGAAACAAAGAATGAACAGAAAAAAATAAAAATATACGGTTATAATTTAAATAAAATACATTTAATGTAATTAAAAAGAAAGAAAAAAAAAGAAAAAAAAACTTATACCACTATGACCCCGAAAGGTTAAGTAAATTAAAAGAAAATACAGTTTCTAAGTCAACGATTGTACTGAGAGGAGATTATTGTATCGAAATCACTCCCAAACGCCAGCTTTTCTATTTAATAAATTAATTAACCTAAAGAAGCCAGACTCAAATCTAGCCCCTTGGAAGTAGGAACACAGTGCCTTACTCACTCGCTACTCTTATCCAATTTTATATATTGTATAATATAAGAAAATCAAATTCGTCAATCAACAAAAAAATATAATTAATACGTTGACTTTATGAGTTACATATTATTTGGATTAAATTTAAGTAATTTAAATATATATTTAATGAATGAATGAAAATATGTTTTATTATGCAAAACAAAGAAAACAATAATGTTATACAGTATTAGGCCGCGGTACAGATCCGTTTTTATCAAATTATTAACATCCGCCTGAAACTTCGTGAATAGCTTCATCTCATCGTAACCTACAACTATTTTATTTACGAAAACTCTTAACATTGGGGCTTTTTCATTCAATTTGGAGATCGGCAAACTTTATCTATTTAATTAGAAACTAAAAACTCGTAAATACGCATTTGCTTATCACTTGATTCGTAAGATAATTTGATCATAAAATCGAGAAAAAATGTGGCCTACAAAAATATTCTGCCGTTTGGCGAGAACTACACCCTCAACATTTCAAAATAACGAGGTTATATAGGAGAAATGGTGCAATATTTTTGGAGGCCACTTTTTTTCCTCGCTTTTGTGATCAAAATATCTTACGATCCAAGTAGAAAGCAAATGGGTATTTACGAGTTTTTACTAGCTAATTAAATATACAAAGTTTGCCTACCTCCAGATTGAAAACCCCCTAATTTCAATAATTTTCGTAAATAAAATAGTTGTAGGTTACGATGAGATGAAGCTACGAACTTTCAGGTGGATGTTAATAATTTGATAAAAAGGGGTCTATACTACGGACCATACACTTATAAATTAACTTTTACTAATTTTTTTTCTGATTTTAAGTTATATAAATATAAATAATATATATATCAGCTCTTTGATAAACAGTTTATTTAACAACTATATGTTCTATTAATTTGAAAATGTTTCGCACTAGCCTCATTCTATTTTGTAAAAGGAGTCTTACACTTTCCAAGGTGACCAACAGTACTGGGAATATATTCAATGCTTAATCAAGCGTTTATCTAAACTTATATTATTGTTTTAAACAATTATTTACGAAGAATAAATAAAAACAAAAAAGAAGTTCAGTAATAATTACCTATATAAATGAGTATTTATGTATATGCATAATTACACTGTTGCCAAATTTAGCTATCAAATAGAAAATAAGTTTGAATTTAGAATTCTTAAGTCTGAAAAAATACTTCATTACTTAACACTTAACTTTTTTGACGTTTTGTCTGACATAAGATACATCTTCAGTTGGTTTTGTGGTTTTAATGGGGGCAGTACATAATAATCCATGTTAAAAATTTAATCAATGAAAATTTAAAATGGTTTATTAAGGACATAATAATTCATAGGACATAATAGTAATTCAAACCCCAAAATCAACTGTATGGCTTGACAACCGACAATGAAATTTTTGAAGTGTTTTTCTATTCTCAAGAATTTCTAATACATTATGAAAAGTACCATACATAGCTTTTCTTATTTATTATTATTCAATAAACATGTATTACTAGATATTAATGTAAATTATAAAGTTAGACAGGCAAGCACGTAATAAATAATATTTAAAAAAATACAAATGTTAATAAAATAAAGAGTTAGACACGTAATAAATAATAATAATAAAATTCAGTATATTTTTATTTATTAAAATCGAAGAGTGAACTGTTCCGTAAAATTAACTTACTTTCATTTTCACCAACTTTAAGCCTTAATGTACGTACGTTTTTCCAATAGTTATTCAAAATTCGAATTTTCTTATATTTTCAATATGTACCAGAAAACTCGACTTATTTAGTAAAGGTGGTTCAGTAATTTTCAAGTATTTTAAAAGTAATTTTAGCTATTGGAAATGATATTTCGTTATTGCACAGATATAATCAAACACCACAGCATATGTCAAATTGAAGAGTATGGTAAACCAAAAGGCCAAGAAATTACAAATTAAGATTAATTTATTAATTATAATTGAGATCGTTCATGAATGAATTAATGTTATCTCTACGTCTTTATTTAACTTAAAAAAACTATTCCCAATTAGAATAATATCGAATTTATTTATATTTTTCCGGTGTTCAAATCGTCTAGATATTTACTATTTTTTTTTTTCAATTCTGATCTTGGCATATCACGGAGGCCTTTGCTTAAACTACAAATTTGTGACGAAGTTTTTGGCAACCTCAAGCAATTTTTAGGTAGGAATTAAAAACCAAAATTATTATCCAGGAGACAAATTAAAATTTCATAATATGAACTTGATAAAAAAATATAATGAATTCAAAAATTTTTTATTTATAGAAAAAGTATGTTTAGTAGTAATATTCTAAAATAGTTTTTAAAAAAGATAAAAATTGAAAATTTACTTCGATCATTCAGGCCCTGATGAAGGCCTGAATTCGGGTCGAAACGTCGATAAATATTTAAAATAAATATTATTATTTATTTTTGACATTTTTATTTTGTCTGATCACCTCGACCATCCTTCTCTTCATTATTCACTACAGTCAACCATCGACCCACAATTAAGAATACATATAATTTCATTAGATAGAAAATTTGAAAGAATGTTCTCAAGATTTAATTAAAATTATTATATTTTATGGTAATGTGGTGGTGAGAATTTTAGTGACATATTTTTTTATAAAATGTATTCAAATCACGTTAAGGTGACTATGTACAGAAAAAAATACAACTAAATATTTGCGTGGTTAGGATTTTTTTAAAGATAAAAGTAATGGGGAAAATTAAAGATTAATTTAGTATAATTAAAAAATTATGTGTTGCTTGAAATGTATATATTTAGTGAAACAATGATTTATCCTAAAATTTCCAATTTTTAGAATGCTGTTTCATATCTCTCGAAGCAAAAATATCAATGGTTATCAAAATTTATCTAATTTTTTACATGAAATCATATTTCTAGTAAAAATTTGGACATTTTTTATACTAAAAATGTCTTAACATGGATATTTTTAAAAATTTATTTAATTTTTCTACTAAATATGGTGTATATTTTTTTTAGGCCGAATAATCAGGCCATAATATTTCATTTTAATAATTCATTATTAGTTTGACGTTTCGGGATTTTATTGACAATTTTCAAAATTTATTAACACATCATTTATTAAACCATTATTTTAAAAAATTGGTTAATAAAATGTACTATATAGTAGATGACTGTGGTATAGTAGATTTTATCAGATAATTTTTAAAAATGATAATTTAGTAAATTTATTAAATAATAAGTTAGCAGTTTTTCAAAATGAACAAAAAAAAAAAAAATTCGAAATGTCAAGCTAATAAAAAATTATAAAGCGATAACAAGAAGATCTCATTAACTCTACAGATAATAATAATGAATAGTGGGCCTTAAAATAAAATAAATTATATGAAGTTGTTTTAAAAAAAGTAATGAAACTTGTTTTCTATCGCATGGTTATTTGAAAGCTGGCAATGAAACGCTTGGGATTTTATTTCCAAACCGTTTGATCGCCTCCTTCAAGTCTTGTTTCTTATGGAGAGGAATGTTAACAAATCCAATCGCTTGTTTATCCAAATACCAAACCGTTGTTCTCATCTCTCCAAACACAGGCCAGTTCTCAGAGCAAATAAATATGACCGAAGGAATCCCAAACAGAACTCTCTCCCTCCCCCACGTTCCCCAAAAATGTTTACACCCCTAGAAGTTATAAGAAGGTGCTAGGATTACCTGCCAGATGGGACGAGACATGGTGTTACAGTGGCTGAATACGAACTGACCGCCTAGCTCCTTGAGGTCTGAGGTGTAGCCCCTCTACGTCGTGGTAGGGGGGGAGGGTTCCTCTTTGTTTTGACATGCCGATCTGGAGCACCCGTCGGGTATTATTAGAAGTGGAGGGCACTTCGGAGGATGTCTTGGTCGCGAATTTGGAGCACCGGAGTACATCGGGATTGGCAAGGATCGCGGGTTGCGAAACGTCATTTCTCTCTCTACCAGGTGACATCTTGACAAAGGGTTAGCTCTCGCGTATGTCATAGTTTGTAAACAAAGTCTATACGTTTTCTCCCTTTTAATAGTAAAATTTCTGATCCAAAAATATATATGGGCGCGTGTAACCTTTACAACACTTTTTGTGGTTGCAACAGATATCAATAAGCCATATTTGAATGACTTAATTTTACATTTAACTATTACTATTAGCGAATTTCATTTCATTAAGCGAATAGTCCGTGGCAGTAGCGGATCCAGGATTTAATTTTTTTTTTTTGGGGGGGGGGAGAGAGAGAGGTTTCAGGTCGATAGTTTTTTTCCCATATATATAACGATAAATACTTTAAGAGATAATTTTTAATATTTTCTTCCATAAAACAATGTTACATGTTACCATATTGGGAGAAAGGCTTCAGTCCGAAAGCTCCCCTTCCCCTCTCCTCTCCCCCTCCGTAGATCTGCCTGTTATCAGCGGTACAGACCCCTTTTTATCAAATTATTATCACCCACCTGAAATTTCATAAATAACTTCTTCCGATCATAGCCTACAAATATTTTATTTACGAAAATCCTCGGAATTGCGCCGTTTTCGATCTGGAGATCGTCAAACTTTCTTTATTTAATTAAGTACTAAAAACTCCTAAATATTCATTTGCTTTCCACTTGAATCGTAAGATAATTTGAGCACAAAATCGAGAAAAAATTGTGGCCTTCAAAAATATTGAGCCGTTCGGTTTGAATTGCAACACCAAAATGTCAAAATAACAAGGTTTTATAGGTAAAACGGCCCGATATTTCTGTAGGCCACCTTTTTTCTCGAAAGCATTTTACGATCCAAGTGGAAAGCAAATGGTTATATATTGGTTTTTATTACATAATTAAATAGACACAGTTTGTCGACCTCTAAATTGAAAAAGCCCCCATTCCAAGAGTTTTTTAAAAATAAAATAGTTGTAGGTTACCATGAGATGAAGCTATTTAAGGAGAGTAACATGGACTTGAACCTCGGATTCCTGTTCAACAATCCGAAAACAGGAGTATACGAAAATTTACAACTACAACACAATTTTTCTATATTTCAAATTAATCTGCATTTAAAAAAAATTAATTAATATTAATTTTCTTCTAAATTGCAATGATTATATACTTTATACAGATTGTGGTGATTACGATAAGCTGAGAATTTTCAAAGATAGGAATCTTAGCTTTCTTTAGATATAAATAACTTAGATTGTTTTTTTTTTTAACCTGGTATCTGAGTATGTAAGAAATGTAAGCAAAAGATGCCAGAGTCGAGTGCAACGGTGGTGCATAATTATTTATCATGTTACATCAGCCGTGGATCGACTCAGTTGTCCCAAGACCCTTCCCAGGGCACCACCAGCCTCAGTCATTTGGATAATGTTTGTTAAATCGTTAATTAAGGAGGAAAATCAGACGGTTGAGTATGTTCTTGGTCAGACGACCTCAAGAAACATAATTTACAAAGTACGGTGTGAATGTGTTCATTTATCAATATAATTATTGTCCCCGTGACAGAATATTATATGTCTAAATAAATAAATAAATTTACAAAGTACTGAATCCAAGACCCTTCATGGGTTGTTATGTAGCAGACTTAAACAAAATATTTTGGAACAATAAATAAAATAAAATGGGTCATTAGTAACGAACGAGAAAAATGGATAAATGCCAAAAAATGTTCCAACAACTCACAGTATTCATAAAATATTCTTGACGTGTTAATGTCTCTTATAGGCTATTTTCACTCATCGTCGTTCATGTTGTCAACCAATCATACGTTTCAGCGATCTTCAAAATATTAAATATTCAATATGAGAGCTATGAAGGTATGAATATTATACGAGAATAAATACTATAATATTGATATCATTATTTCAATATTCTAGCAGTATCTCTCGTTTTCACTAACGTTAACTGCTTGTTTCTCACAGTAAATTGTAGCGTCTACAAGGGGTATCTATTTATCTGAAATTCATGAATACAAATTTAAAAAAATATTTATTTACTACTACAAACTTATTTTTAAAGGGTTAAAGAAAAAAATCAGTAATTAAATAGGTATTTCTTTCAGAGGAATAAGAATGAACAACTTTTCACCGCAACCTTATCTAGTGGGTTGGCAAATAAGTCCTTTCGATTTTTCATCAGATCCAATTTTGTTATTTGTGAGCAATAAAGAGTTGAATCAATTGTTTGTCCTGATGGCAGTAGCTCAAAGAAAATAAAATCCTTAAAATACCACCATATGGAAAGCATTATCTTCTTTGGATGCAATCCGGTTTTTTACATTCTTCAAGGAGCTTCACTACATTAGATTTTCATCTGCCGTTACCAACCTTTTCAAAAATGGGTCTTTTTTTGCCCTTTCCGTAGTGAATCACAAACAGAAACGCGTGTTGCCAAGTTGACTTCTGTTAGAGAGTCATAGACCCATACATTAAATCTGGAAACATAGCCGAGCTTGTGCAAATGGTTTTCTACGCTTGTGTGCGACACATTTAGGGCCTTAGCAATCTCTCGTACTGATTGGGTGGGATTTTAATTAAAAATGACCTTAACATTGGTCGTTTCAATTTTATGTGGGCGACCAGACCGTTGAGCATCATTGATGTCCAAATTTCCTGAATGAAATTTGGCAAACCAATTTTGATAGGTGCTTTCGGTTAAGGCATCATCTCCATGAACACTTCAAATTTTTCTATGAGATTCTGCAGCACGCTTACCTTTTTTAACATAATACAAAAAATATGCCGATAATGAATGATATTTTCTTCCATATTAACAGTGTAACATCAAACACAATACTAAGCTGATTTCAACAAGAGTTAGCAGACATAGATGTTGACATATTACAAAGAGGATAAACAATCCACTTTAGGTATTAATTCATCAGATAAGAAGGGTAACATAGTGACATAAAAATAAACAGAAAAACCGAAAGGACTTATTTTCCAACCCAATAGTTCAGGTCAAGTCGACTCCAATATGCTTAAAAGTTTGTCTCAGCGCTTTGTTCATCGTAAATGCAAACTATATTAACGAGAAACTGTGTAAAGAGTAGTTACCTATAGTTTATTAGATTGATTGATGTTTATAGTAAATACTCCGTAAATAATACTTTTAATGCCTAGTAGAAAAGCCTTCATTAATATTCGGTTTATCTAAAGCAAAAGTTATTTTTCGATTCGTTTTAGCAGTTCCTGAAATTAACGTATTTAAACAAACTCTACATTACATTAATATAGGTAATTCAATAACGCGTATTACATTTTTAAATTATATTGACATTGATACTTCGGGTATTCCATTCATAACTGGGAACGTTTTCCTTCTTTAACATGAATTTGATCAGTAAACTAATTAGATGTTCGTTCTAGTTCTTTGATGGAGATCCTGCCCACCAAAATCCTAATCTATATAGATCTACTCTTAGTGTAGTTAAGGGCAGAAAACAAATCACGGAGACTTAATGCAGACATAACTAACTTTTGATGATCCTTTAAGGATCTGTATTCATAAGAAAATTTACTTTTTAGAAGAAACTGAAGAATCATTACTAAGTTACTCAAAAGAATCGGTTATGGATAGTGATGGAAAAGAATATTGAAGTTAATATAGAAATATCGAAACGTTTCATTCATGTTTCTGAAAAATATGCGATTTATATTTAATTTCTGAAGAAGTAATATTATAAATATTATACTATAAATACAAAATTTTATAATTGTTTCTTAAAAAAAATTGAAATATCATGGATTCATTTTTTTTTTTTTGGTCAACAAATCATCACAACCCAAATAATTTTGAGAGAAATTGTTTAAATAAAAGTCAACCTGAAGTATTGAGCATATATCTTTATACTTAATTGGCCTCGACAGTATTTGATTGAGGAGTTCGAGGTAACATCCTGGGATATATTGTTTAATAATAAAATATTTTGTTTTTTAATTTGTTAGAACTGACCTGTTTATAAATTTAAAAAAATATTTATACAGAGATTTTTAATAATGATATAACGATAGACTTAAAAATACTTGTATATCTAAAAACACCAAATAAATCATATGGTTAATAAAACTTGCATTACCTTAACCATTTATCTTTTCAACTGATTATTAGTTCGCTGTGGACTCATAAATAACAATATTTCAATTTATTGTATTTATATTATATTATATTTATTTATTGTATATATTTCAATTATAACCTAAATATGTTATAAGTACCCCATAGTAACCGTAGTAACTAAAAGGCAATCGGCAAAAATGATAGTTTATTACAAAAACGGTGCATTTTAGGGCTTTTAAATACAGGTTGCAGAATATATAGTGCCATAGAAACTGTACTAAGACTTGATTTCCGCGTCAAAATCTTTTTTTATAAAATTATCTCTCAAATATCCGTCAACTTTTGAAGCCATCTGAGATTTATAACCTTCGATTTTTGGTTTATTATTTTCAATAATGAACCATTGCAATCTTTCAAAACACTCAAAAACTTAACCCCTCCCCCTCCCTCAAAATTTGAGTTTTTACGTTTCAGCATAGGTATAAATCGAAAATCGAATAAAAATAATTTTGTCTGTCCGCCGTACGCAAATTTTACTACGAGACTAGTGGACCGATTTTTTTCAAAGTCAGAGGTCTCCCAAGGATGATCCTCCTACCTCGACATTTTTATCCGCCATTTTCTTTTAAGATGGCGGCTGAAAAAACTATGTTGCTATAGACTCTGTAAACGAATGTACCGATTTCAATGAAAGTTGTCAAAAGTCCTCTCCTCGATACCCTTTAAATAGATGTATAGAACATCCTTCACCGAAAATTTCTTCACTTTCAAG